GAAGAAATTTTATTTACTTATATTAATTTAAAACAATAATGAGAGAATTAAATCAAAATAATCTACTATAGCTTAAAGATTTGGAGCATTAATGGCTTTTTAATTAATTTTTTCACTTATTATATTATCAAAATAATAATAATAATTGATAGGTATGTGAGAAAAGATATTATTTAATGATAGTATAGATAACTTTTAATAAACGAACAAGATTATGGATTTGATAATAAAAAAATTTAATTGATAAAATTATTAAAAGGAAACACCGAAAAATACTTAAATTTAATGTGAAAAGATATAACGATTAAAGTGTTTATAGTATTATTTAAATAATTAGAACTTTATTATAAAATAAATAATGGATTCGATATAAGGACACTTGTCAAATTGTTTATAATAATTAACACAAAATAAATATAATAATATTGCTTTTAGCTTTATCAATAAATTAGATATGTATTAAAAAGTTAAAATATTATGAAAATTATTTGAATTGTTAATAATAGCATTATTAATCTGAATTAATCATTAATTTCAAAAATTAGTTATTTATTTAAAGAAACAATTTATGGATTTTTTCGTCAATAGTATGATCTAAAATTGATTAACAATAATTTAAATAATCTGAAAATTTTTTGGCGTATTTATAAAACAGAATAGATTTTGGTATCAGGTGTGAAAAGATATAAAAATATGGAATTTTGAATATTTTACAATTAAGATTTGGAATTGAGTTGAAAATTTGAATAAGTATATCAATCACAGGATGCTGAGTTAAAGTAACATTCATTCATGATAACTAATTTATTTGGTTTAAACATAATTAAAATGAAGGGGATTGCATTTCCTTTTTTAATTGAGAAGATTGTATTTTTTAATAATAAAAATTTGGTATTTTACTTACAACAGAATAATCAAAAAGTTGATTAAGTTCTGCTTCTAATCATGTTTAATAAAGAAAATGAAATCATATTGGCTCGTCATCAATTTCAAATTTGTCTGTTAACAAAAAAATAGAATTTTTGCATCTTAAACTATTTTATAGAATTAAAGTAAAAATGATGTGAATTGAGGTTGATTCTATAAGTCACAAAAATTTTAAAAAAACCTTCTATCTGAAAAAAAGAGATTAAAAATATTGAGATATAATATTATTTAATTTATATTATTTATCTAAATTAAGAAATTTAAGGCGCTGCTAAAAAAACTCGTAATAAACGATAAAAGATGCCAGTAATTATTATAATAAAAAAATTAAAAATTTCTCTTAATAATTTTCGATCTAAAATTAAAGTTATAGAGTAAATTAGGATTATTTATTTAAAGAGATGAGATGGGTAAGCAAAAAGTAAATTTATATATATTATAAAATTATAAACATATCTTATGGTTTCCATGCATAAATTGTAATAATTTTTAAATTGAAAATATTTAAATAGATATCTAATTTCTAAAAAAAAAACTTATTAGTTAATTTTTATTTTTTGTTTTCATTAAAAACTTTGACAAACCCATAATCATCTTCATTTTTTTCATTTTACCTATTATATATTTCAAAACTTAAGTTTACATACCATGAATTGATTCGCTTTATTCACAATAATTTCTGTAAAATGAGCTAGCCCTAAAATAAAATTTTATAAAACTATTTAAGGCTTGTTCATGATCGTAAGTAATATAAAGAGGATCTCAAATAAAATTTAAAGATTTTTAAATGATTTAAATTGAGATGATTGTTAAAATCCTCCTCTATCTTTATAAAATTAATAAAACATCTTTTATCCTTATAATCAAATTAACTAGTTTAAAAAGAGTCTTGGATTAGAACTTTTATTTGAATAGTTGATGATATCCAAATATATCATCATAAGATAATTTACATAAATAATTGTACTTTTGAATTATTTAAAAATGAACTCGGACAATTCTTTGGATATTTTAATTCTTTCCAATTAATATAAACAACTAATTTTTTTAATTCAAAAAGTCATTAAAATTAATGACTATTTAAATTGAAAATATTATTTCTAACAATTATAATCATTAATGAATCTACATCAATATCAAGAGGATAAGTACTTACTCCTCAGAATCAAAATTTTAAAACCAACTTTTTTGCTATTCCTTAATAATTATCTATCAATTCTAAACAAAAAGAAAGATGTATTAGCGAAAAGAATAACTAACTTATGTATTTAGAAGCATAAGTTTTATTCATCAAGCAAATTTAAGGTTAGACTTGAACTATATATTGATGGAATATGATGATAAGGAACCTATAATCTTAAACAATAATGAGGAAAGAACAAAGCCCCTGATGATTTATCTTTCGAAAACTATTAATGGAATCTTTCCAAGTAGAAAACCAATTTTATACACCACGTCATTGGATATTTAAGGATGAGTACATATTTATCTTAACTA